CATTAATCTGCAAACAAAAAAGTATATAATAATAATAATATAACTTTATATACTTTACTCAATCGTATTTTAATATGATATGATTGTACTATATTGTATCTTTGAATTTCTACGGAATATTTTTTTATGATTCATCGTGAAATTACATGTCTACTAATAAATTTGCATATATAAAATGCTTAGAATTTTTAAAAATATACTTAACCTACACTTAAAACTACATATATAGTTCTAAAATCTCAGTTTGATAAATAATCAATATTCAATACTAATAGAAGTGGATTAGTAAAATATTATAGAATTTGTGCATGCGTTACAAAAAGTATTCATAAGTTTGTTAGATAAGTTTATAGTTAATGTATTCAATCTATATTAGTTTTGAATTGTTGATTGTTCGATGGAATTTTTTATTTTTTTAATTTTCCAACTCACTTATATAATAATAATAATAATTAATAATAATAATAATAATTATTATAATAATAATAATAATAATAATAATAAATAATAATAATAATAATAATAATAATAATAATAAATAATAATAATAATAATAATAATAATAATAATAATAATAATAATAATTCGTCCTTTTTTTGTTGTTGTTATTATTATTACTAGCATTTTTCCCCCGTGCGATGCACGGGATCTTATTTTAAAAGTAAAAAATAATCAATTTAATACTTAATAAGAAAATATAGTACACTAAAATAGTAAAATTTAATAATGTAATATTATATTTAACATTTTTTTTTAAATTTTACATATTAAGATTTATAATCTAAATTAGAGAAAAAAAATTAAAAATAAATAACTACTGAAGTACCATTAAGGTAGGATTCTTCACCGTTTAGTTTTAATTTTGATAATTGTTAAAAAATATAGTTAGAAATTAGTAGAAAAAAAATATTAAAAATAAATAATTATAGAAATATTATTAGAGTTTTCTCAGCGTTTCTTTCTTTTATATATAAGATTAATATTATTATTATTATTATTATTATTATTATTATTATTATTATTATTATTATTATTATTGAAACTCGTAATATAATGTATTCATTATTACCGTGTAAAAACTAAAAAATGTACAATTGAGTGGTTCTATTTTTTAGGAGGGAAAATAGGGAGAGAAATTAGGAAGAAATTTTAGAAACAAAACAATTAAGGGCATAAATGGTATTAAATATATAAAGAAAACAAAAAAAGTAAAATAAATGCTATTTTGGCCAGCCAGATTCTGGCTATTTAGCAAAGTCCTATTGTAATGGGGTTACTAAAATTTTTGTTTTTTAATATTTTTTTCATCCTAAAAATTATATTTTAATTATTTTATCGAGGTTAAACAACTACCAGAATTTGATAATTTAAAACAAGATTTAATCTAAAGAATCAAACATTTTAATAACTATGTAATTATTTTCTCCTAGAAAAAACACTGTTATTACTTAATCAATACGAGATTAGTGAAATTTAATTTAATCCAAATTAATCAGATATAGATAAGCAAACAAGGCCACGTCACGTGGTTCTTATTTTCCAGGGTGTTTACTTTCCAGAACGTATCCAAGAGTGCAGTCAAACTTTGAAAATTCATTAATTGAATTTTCAAGTTTAATTTATTAATGGAAACTTCTTATTTGAAGAGAAAAAAATGGAATAGAGAGGAAAAGTCACCTCCAATGACTATTATGCTCACCTCACTAGTATACCAACTATTGGCACCGAGTTACATCACATTTTTTTTGTCTACTTAAGAATTAAATATGTACCGCAGCAAGAAAAAACACCAATTTATTTACTTTTAAAATAAAATAAAAAATTCGAGGTTATCTTTGGATCATGAAATTTAAAGAAAATAATTAAAAGGGTAACATTTGTAATAATTGTGCCTTATCCACATAAAGTGCTTCTTTGAATAATTGTGAAAGTGGAATTTTTTTTATGGTCAAGAGTATTACTCCTTTTTTTTTTTTGGTAAAATTACGGTCCTCTTCCTCAGGTTAGGTCAAATTACAAAAAATCTTTTCTTTTTAGGTAATTATAATTACTTCCCTCAACTATGAAATGTCTTACACATTCATCCTTATAGTTCAAATTTAACAGAAGCTTTTAGATTCTGCGAAATATTCCACACAATCTTCAAGATTATCCAAAAATAAGGGATTTTTTTTTAATAATTTCAGTATAGCTGAGGGAGGTGGTCGTAATTTAAACTTTTTTTAATTCAATAGAAACAAAAATCCCTCCAATGAAAAGAATGTAATAAAAATTATGCCCGGCCCCCCCTTTGCTATTTACTTTTCTATAAAACCACAAAAAAAAAAAAACTTATAAGGTGAAATTAAAATACACCATAACTACTCAAAAGTTACAATACTCTATTCTTTGCCTCAAGAAAAAAAAATGGAAATACAATTTCCTTTCACCTTCACAAATGCAATCCTTCTCCTATCCTTCATCTTTTTCTTCATCTACAAAGGATACCGAAAATCGAGAAACACAACTGCAAAATTACCACCAAGCCCCTGGAAACTACCCCTAATCGGCCATCTCCACCACATAGGCAAACTCCCGCACCGCTCTTTTCAAAAACTCTCCGAGAAACACGGACCACTCATGCATGTCATGCTCGGAGAAGTCACCGCGATAGTCGTCTCGTCGCCTGCCCTAGCCAAGCAGGTACTCAAGGCACACGACCCTACCTTCGCCGACAGGCCGGTGACGATAGCAGGCGAAATCCTCTGGTACAACTCCTCCAACATCTCCTTCAGCCAGTACGGCGACTACTGGCGGCAGATGCGGAAAATCTGCATCCTCGAACTCCTCAGCGCCAAGAACGTCAAATCGTTTAGCTCAATACGGAACGACGAAGTCTCCCAGTTAATCGAATCAATCAAGATTTCATCATCTACTGTTGATTTGACGGAGAAGATTTTCGGGATGACGAGTTCGATTACATGCAGAGCGGCGTTTGGGAAAGTGTGCAAGGATAAGGACCAGCTGATCGGAATGTTTAAGGAAGGGATAACTTTGGTTAGCGGATTCGACGTGTCGGATCTTTATCCTTCGTCGAAGATGCTAAAGGCGCTGAGCTGTAATAGGATGAGGCTGATGAAGATGAGGCTGAAACTCGATCTGATTCTTGATGACGTCATCGACGAGCATAGACGGAACCTCGAAAAGATAGTTTTTGCCGACGAGGAGAATTCCGAGAGGCGGGGTAATGGGGAGTTTGGGAATGAGGATTTGGTTGATGTTTTGTTGAGAGTTAAGGAAAGTGGTGAGCTTGAATTTCCGATCAGTGATGATAACATCAAAGCTGTCATTTATGTAAGTTGTTTGTTATACACTTCAATTACAATTTTGCTTGTGAATTCGTCACCAAAAGGGTTTATTTCATTTTCCACCCTTATATTGTTTTTTTAATTGTTAAAAAACCCCTCAAGTTATTTTATTTGTAAAAAGACCCCTCATGATTCAATTTTTTTTCACACAAACTCCTCAATGGTGAGGTTTAACGGGGTTGCTAAAAAATATTGATATTTTTTTTTTTTGCTTATAAATTTATCAAGAAAAAGGTTTACTGCATTCGTCGCCGTCTATGCCACTGTATTTTTTCATGTTATTTTATTGGGGAATACCCCCTTATGATCAATTACTTTTAGCAAAATCCCCCTAAATCTCATTATTTAGGGGATTGTGCTGAAAATGGGGAATATTATGGTTTTTAACCCTCAAATTTGCACTAATTACACATTTGGTCCCTCGTGTTTAAAAAAACATATTTGGTCCATCATATTTTAATAATTGAACACTTTTGGTCATTTTCGTCATATTACTGTTACTAACAAAAATGACTAAAAATGCTGAATTTTTGAAATTTGAGGGACCAAATGTGTTTTTAGTGAAGATTGGGGGCCAAATGTAAAATTGGTGCAAATTTGAGGGATCAAAACTGTATTTTCCCGAAAAGATGCATAATAAGGGGGTTATTATTAAAATAAAATAGTATATGTGGTTGTTTAGCAATTTGATATAAAATAGGAGTACGAAATGTAATAAACTCAAATTGTCAAGAAATTGAACCGAATGAATATCATGTTGTTTTTTTTCTTTTTGGTGTAGGATATATTTGCAGCAGGAACAGAGACATCGTCGACAACAATCGACTGGATAATGGCGGAGCTCATACGAAACCCTAGAGTGATGTCAAAACTACAGACAGAAATACGAGAAACATTCAAAGACAATCCAAACTTCGGAGAATCCGATGTTCAGAAGCTGAAATACCTAAAGTTAGTGATCAAGGAAGGATTCCGGCTCCACGCGCCGATCCCGTTAATCCCACGCGTTTCACGCGCGGACACCGAAATCGAAGGGTATGTCATCCCAATCGGAGCCAAAGTGCTGGTGAATGCGTGGGCCATGGGGAGAGACCCGGGTCTTTGGTCCGACCCGGAAAGATTCGAACCGGAGAGATTCGAAAATGACCCGAGAGATTTCACCGGGAACGACTTTGAGTATATTCCGTTTGGTGCTGGAAGAAGAATGTGCCCTGGGATGACGTTTGGTTTAGCGAGTGTTGAGCTGCCGTTAGCGCACCTTCTTTATAGTTTTGACTGGAAATTGCCCGCCGGAATGAGCTCCGGCGACCTGGATATGACTGAACGGCCGGCGATCACGGCGGCTAGAAGACAAAATCTGGAATTGGTCGCCACCCCGTATATATATGATGGTGGGTTCTCCCTATAGACGATGGGGAATTATATTTTGTCTGTTTATTGATGTTTTCTTTTGGAAAATTATACTTTTTGCCCCTGAAGTTTAACTCGTTTCATATTTGGTCCCCTATGTTCACAAAAATCAAATTTTGTCCCTCGTGTTTCAATAATTTAACATTTTTGGTCATTGATGTTAATTTTCCGTTAGTATTAACGGAATTAAGTATGTATGTATCAGTCTCTTAACTGACAGACTAACGGTAAATTGACGGAAATGACCAAAATTTTCAAATTGTTGAAACATGAGGGACCAAATGTGTTTTTTGTAAATAATGAGAACCGAATGTGAAACCGATGCAAACTTAAGGGACAAAAATGTAATTTTATTTCAATTTCTCGTGCATCTTCTCTTTTTATTGGTTGTGTTGTGTAGTCTTAGTTATGGACTTATGGTTCAGGCTCCTTCTCTCTGTCTTTTATTTAGTTTCTTTTGAATTAAAACAAGAGTACTTGAACTTAATTTTGTGCTTGATCCATACTATGTCAAGTACTATAATTCATGTATCACGTCGTACAACACATTTTGACTTATTTGAACGTAAAAAAATGCAAAAAAAAAAAAGAGAAGAGTTTATATATTTTATTGGCGAAAGCAACGGTGTTTTTTCCCGTACTAGATTTCGAAAGATTGAAGAAGTAGAGCTACGACGTGGGGCTTGAGCCCTTTCTCTGGATAGGTGTATCCGTCTTGTTTACGCTTATACGTTATTTCGGCAACTCGTGCCCAATTGAAAACTCGCATGCGAATCTCCATCGAGACGGAATTATCCAAGATCCCTTCATTCAAATCTTTCCATCTAACCTCAACAATTTCTTGCAAGCATTGTATTGCCACTTGTTTCGATACACCGTGCTCCTTCATGTAGCAATCAATCCCCGTCGCCACTTGCCCTCTCTTCTTCTCGTCCTTACATAAATCAAAAAAATATGGGTTACAAATATAAGATTATATGAAAATTACAGGTTACCTCCCTTAGTTTTACACTGATTTTACATTTGGACCCCCATGTTCGTTCATGAGAAACATACTCCTTCCCTCATATATTTCAACAATCTAACACTTCAATTTTGGTCATTTCGTAGATTTTCCGTTAGTCCATCACTTAAAAGAGTGACGGACACATGCTTGATTCCGTTAGTAGTAACATAAAATTGACGGAAATGACCAGAAGTACTAAATTATACGTTGAAGCATGATGGACTAAATTTGAATTTTTTGTGAATATAGGGGACCAAATGTAAAATCCAGGCAAACTCGAGGGGACCAAAAGTGTAGATTTCTCCTACATTCTTATCATGTATCAACTTGATGATATCTCGTATGTACCTCGTATGTGGCAACATCGTCAATGATACGAACAACTACGTTACAAGTTTTGAGAATATTAGGTTTAGCCAAAAGCCAATCGAATACTTCAATTGTTGCATTGTCCATGCCAAGGTAGGCTGTTATTGTCAGAAAGTAGGCACCGGCTGTAATCTCGGCTTGACTCATGTACTCGTCAAATAACGGCAAATGATCACCTTCGACGAACCATTTAGCCTCAACGTAGTAACTCGTCACAATTTCCTTCATCTGGGTTATACATCAAATGTCGGAACATAAACAATAACAAAAAAAAAAGTGAATCAACCATATGATTCGTATATGAAAGCGAAATCGAATTAAATATACCGCCTCCCTGGCATAATGAACGGCAAATGATCTTCCTTTTGGAGATAACTCTGCATCAAAGGCTTCGTAAAGATCCAATACAACTCTATAGCATATCTTCATGTAGTCTGGGAGTCGATCGATTTCCCTTATATCCCATCTGATAACACACATTTCTTTGTTTAGTATATAAGTAATTTTGCTTAATGAATAAAGTAGAAACACTAATTACTTTTGTATGGCATCGGTGAAAACTTTTAGTTCTTCGATTGTTCCATATGTATCGTATGTGTCGTCTATCACAGATATGATAGCTATGGTTTTAGCTAGCATGACTCGAGCACTAGAATATTGGGGCTCGTGATAAACCCCCAAAGCCCAAAAATAGCACTCTACAACTCTATCTCTAGCATACGAAAGCTTCGAAATAAGGTCCATCTCCTTCCACCACCTGCACACAACAAGTAACAAAGTTCATATATATATATATATATATATATATATATATAAACTTCAATAAATAATACAGTCGGGATCAGTCAAAGTCTATTAATTTAGCGAAATATTAATTTAATGAAATATTTTTTAGCACGTTACCTTCGAGTTAGGACCGAGAAAACATATTAATTAAACAAGGTTATTAATTTATCGAGGTTCTACTGTGTGTGTGTTACCTGGTGAGTTCAGATAGTTCATTTTTGTGCAGCATTTGTAGCAAATTGAAATCCAATTTAGCCAGCCTCAACAATGATTCATTCTTGGATTCAACTTCTTCGTACAATGAGATGAAACGACGGGATTCAACTCTTGGAGTGCCTCGGTGGAGGGATTGATCAAGAGCATGCAATACTTGTTTCTTGAGTGGCAATTCGGGTAAATTAGGAGCAACAGACTCAAGATAAGCTTTAGAGAAAGAAAAAGCCTTGTCCAAAATCTCCTCTCCTTGTCTTCTTAAATATGTTGCTTCATATAGACTCAGCACACCCTCAATTTCAGTACAAAGGGCTTTCTTGAATTCACCATTTTTATTTTCGGTGAATCTTTTGAAAATTGCTGCATATATATGAATATGCCATAATAAATTATTGCATGCATATAATTAAAGAAATTAATGTTACGTTCTAACAGTAGGTAAATATACTTACAAGAAGGTGCATCCAAGGCATGCTGCCTCAGCAATCTGAACTGCAATGAGGTGATGAACAAATCATTGTTTTCGTCGAGCTCGAGTTTGAGATGGCCATTGAAGGCTAATGTGAGCTGTTCTTGAATTTCATTTTCAAAGTGATAAGATAAACCGAGGCGTTCGATTGTGTCGATTAAAACCAGTTTCTCAGACAATTTGATGTCGACCGAGGTTAGCATATTTCGTGCTTCTTCCTTGAGCACCTTAATCTCTTCAGCGTACATGCTTGACAACTGGAGAACATGAGAAATATAAGAGTACATTGGATTCCCGGATTTATTTCTATTATAGGTAATCGTAGTAATAATAATAATAATCTTATATATATAATTTTTCAAAAAAAAAAAAAAAAATCTTATATATATAAAAGAAAGAAACGCTAGGCAATCCTAAAAAAATCCTAATGATATTTATGTAATTATTTAATTTTAATATTTTTTCTCCACTAATTTCTAACTATAATTTTTAACAATTATCAATCTCCAATTTTTCATCAATATATCTCAAATCTTAAGAGATAAAGATAGAAATACGATTTTTTAAATCTTAATCTATATATTTGGATTATAAATCTTAATATGTAAGATTTAAATTTTGAAATAATATACTGTGCATCGCACGGGGAAAAAATACTACTACTACTACTACTACTACTAATAATAATAATAATAATAATAATAATAATAATAATAATAATAATAATAATAATAATAATAATAATAATAATAATAATAATAATAATAATAATAATAATAATAATAATAATAATAATTAACTACATGCGTATGCACGTACATCTGTCTAGTATATAATAAAAAAAGATAAAAAGTGATCGATTGATGACGAGAAATGACCTGGATATCCATGTCAAATGAAGTAAAACGATCATCCCACAAACTAGGAGGGAAATTAGCGATAACAGGGCGTACAATATCACTGCTTTTAGGGTTCGAGGCGAGGTTGTAATTTGCTTCTTCATTGGAGGCGGCGGCCATAGCAAGAACATTCCTGCAAAGATTTTGTTATATGCTCCGATGAAAGTTGATGTCTAATTAGAATGAAAGAACGAATAAAAAATCATGCCTATTTCGTCGTAAAGGCGTTAAAGCGGCGGGAATGGTCGTCACGGAACGCGAATGACTAAATATCGGCCGCCATGAAACAGTAGAGAGTAGTGCTGCCATTATTGATCTCTCCTTGATAATTCTACTTTTTTTTCTTCTTTTCTTTTTTGTTATGTTAGTATATATAGTATATGTATGGGTTTAACTTAGGGTGGCAATTTACACGCGCGCTTTCCTTCATATGCGGTTTTGTTTAGGTGATTTAATTTTTGGGGAACTTGTTAAGACACCCCTTATTTTTGACTTACATAGGTGCGGATCCTAATTGTTAGACGAATATATATAGGTGTGAGTCATTTGAACCAAAAAAAAAATAATAGAAATTAAATTAAATTGTTCGTGTGTAGACAAAAAATACCCTCAATTAATATAGGGTAAATTACAGATACCACCGTGAGGTATGGTGAAATTACGAAAACCCCCTCATGCTTGGATAATTATAACTACCCCTCATCTATGAATTTTTTACACGTCCACCTTTTATAGTGTCAAATTCAACATAATCTTCTAGATTCCGTGGAATGTTTTATCTAATTTGTACTTGTTTTGTGCAAAAAAAATAGTTTATGATGCATTACAATCTGATATATACAAGCCAAGAATCACATATTATAGTCATCTTGCTTCGTAATGTAGAGTTCTACTGCAGGGCCGGTTCTGAGGGGATGCGAAGTAGGCGGTCGCCTAGGCCCCCCGGATTTTTGTAAAAAAATAGGGCCCCCAAATTTTTTTATACGTACCCTTTATATATTAGTATTTATTAAAAAAAATTATATTATATATATAATTATTGAGTTCCCTAATTCATAAATATATAGTGATCAACGATGTTTACTTGTTTCTATAATTTCTCTGATTATGGGGCCCCCAATTAATAAATTTCTGGTGCATTAACTATTTATTTTTATATATTTACACTTTTTTTAGTGCTACTTCATTAAAATTATTCTTAAAAAAAATCGGGGGCGCTGGCTCCGAACCCCCGAAAACTATAACATCACTATATCAAAAATTTATAACCTTGCTTCTGGCTATATACCTTACAAAAACGAGTTAACATAGAGTTTATCATCCTTTTAGAAAAAATGAGTTTTAATGTAGATTGTAGAAGGGCCCTATTTTTCAACCATCTTCAAAACTCGCCTAGGGCCCCCAAAATCTCAGGAACGGCCCTGAGTTCTAGTGGGATAAAATGGGTACAAAAATGAGAGTATTCATATAATCTAAAAAATTCCACTAAATTTGATACCGCAATTATAGAGACGTGTAAGAAAATTTACAGAGAAGGGATGATTGTAAGTATCCAAATAGGAGAAATTTTTTTGGTAATTTAACTAGATAAGTCCTCTCTAATACAATACTCGAACAACAATACGTACAATTGTTACATATAAAATACTATTTTTGTTTGAGTCGATAACCCTAATTATTCTCCGCCCCCACTAGATATATATGCCTGCTTATTAATTAATACTGCATTTGTTACTAATTAAGCATTTACTGTATACAACTAGCTACCTAGCCAGCAGTACTGCCAAACTTATATTATTTATTTAACAGTGGCGGATCCACTCTAGTTCTAGAGTGTGCAACCGCACACCCTTGATTTAAAAAAAAAATATATCCCTATAAATTTTGTCCAATATATTATGTCAGATGCGAAATGTTAACAAGGACAATTTGTAGTTCTGAGTCCTACAACCTACAAATATTAGTTGTTTTTCATATTTAATTTTCATAATATTTCACTTTTATTTATTAAATTTTCATTTACACTACAATTTCTCTCAATATTTTTCTATTTTTTTCAAAATTCTCCAAAAATTGAAAAAGACCTTGTTAGTTTTGATTTTCTTACATATTAGTATTATTTTATGTGTGTATTATTATTATTATTAAAAAAAAAATCGGGGGCTCTATTCCGTAAACTTTTATAATTTCGAACACCCTTGGCTAAATTCATGAATTCGCCAATGCTTATATATAGTTCTATATATATTTATGCTTAGCGAGTTCTATTATTGAAATACATAACTAATTGTGTGTAGTTAATACTTAATAACACTGTATTAATGATGTTAGCATTGCCTAATTAATTAAATTTCTTTTTTTTTTTTTTTTTTTTTATACTAGGGTTTGCTGCCGAACTAGTGGTTTCTTTGTCATTTATAATTAACTAGTGTTCTTTTCCCCGTGCGATGCACGGGATATTATTTCGAAAGTGAAAAAAAAATCAATTTAATAGATAATAAGAAAATTTAGTACACTAACATAGTAAAATTTAATAATGTGGTATTATTCAAATTTTATATAACATTAGTTTTTTTAAATCTTACATATTAAGAATTACAATCCAAATATATAGATTAAGATTTTAAGAAATCGAATTTTATCTTTATCTCTTAAGATTTGAGATATATTGATGAAAAATAGGAGATTGATAATTGTTCAAAATTAGTAGAAAAAAAAACATTAAAAATAAATAATTACAGAAGTACCATTAGGGTAGGATTCCTCACGGTTTAGTTTCAATGTTGATAATTGTTAAAAATGATAGTTAGAAATTAGTAGAGAAAAAAAAAATTAATTACTAAAATACCATTAGGGTTTTTTAGGGTTGTCCAGCGTTTCTTTCTTTTATATATAAAAATTTAATTACTAAAATATCATTAGGGTTTTTAAGGGTTGCCCATCGTTTCTTTCTTTTATATATAAGATTTTCTTTTCTTCTATGCTAGCTAGCTCTGGTATTAATCTGGTAGCATAATTAGCGTTGAAACTCTGCCAATTAACGCCTTGTTTAATTTCTTTGGTTATAAAACCCTCACAAAAAAGATCATCATCATATATCCACAAAAAGAAAACGAAAAAAAAAATAAAAAAAAAATCAAGCATGATGAACCTCGTGTTGACGATTCTTGTCTTCTTCATACCCATTTTCATCTTCTTCTTCAAGCTGATAAGAACAAAAAAGTCAACTCGAAATCTGCCACCAGGGCCATGGAAATTGCCTTTAATAGGGAATATGCACAATCTCATCGGCTCTATGCCACATCGTGCTCTGCACGAATTGGCCCTGAAATACGGCCCCGTGATGCACCTTCAGCTCGGCGAACTATCCACGGTTGTAATTTCCTCACCCGACGCCGCAAAGCAGGTGATGAAAACCCACGACGTAAACTTCGCATCCAGGCCACCGATTATCGTGGCCGAGATCATCAGTTATAACAGCACAAGCATCACGTTCGGCGAGTACGGTGATCACTGGAGGCAGCTGAGGAAGATCTGCACGCTGGAGCTCCTGAGCATGAAGCGCGTCTCGTCTTTCCGTTCGATAAGAGAAGAAGCGTTTCTAGATCTCTCAAGGTCGCTGGAGGGAGCGCCACCTGTCGTCGTCAATTTGACTGAGAAACTCTACTCTTGTGTCTATTCTCTGGTTTCCAGGGCCGCGTTTGGTAAGAAGTCCGAGGTTAATAAGAGGTTACTGCCCGTATTCAAAGAAATTTCCGTACTGGCGGCAGGATTTAGTATTGCGGATGTTTATCCTTCGATTAAGTTGCTTCAAATGATGAGTGGATTGAGGAGGAGGATGAAGAAGCTGCATGGGGAAGTAGATAGGATACTTGATGACATCATCCATGAGCATAGATCAGTAGCCATGGTTTATGATGACGTCAGCGAGAAGAAGAAGAAGCAAGGAGATGATGACCTGGTTGATGTTCTTCTCAGATTCCAGGATGATGGGATTCAGATTCCGTTGACCACTGAAAACATTAAAGCTGTTATCTTGGTCAGTTTTCTTCTCCCCTTTCATGTTTTTCTATGAGTTAATTGCAAACACCACCCCCGTGAAATCTCTAATTGCCAAATGCCCCCCATCAAAGAATAAATAAATAAACAAAACTCACCCTTATCTTTCGAAGCGAGTCCAAACCTCGGCCCATCCCCACTCCAGTTATAATCCCCTCATACGTCTACAACAACATCGCTGGACCCGATGAAATAATGATAAATATTATATGTAAATTTTAGAAAATTACAATTCAGTCCCCTGATTTATTTGATTAAGTTTTTCAAAACTTCAATTTGGTCCTATAGTTTTTTGCAGAAACCCTGGGGTATTTCGGTCCTTTTACAACCTGTCAATGGAGAAAATTTAAATGGGACGACTATGCTATTTACATATAAAAATACATGGGGTATTTGCTAATTTTTTTAGGGTAAATTACAACCACCCCTGAGGTTTGGTTAAATTACGAAAACCTCCCTCTTGTTTGGGTAATTACAACCACGCGTCAACTATAAATATTTTTACATGTCCACCATTGCGGTTTCAAATTTAGTGGAATTTTCGAGATAATATGAACTTTTGTATCCGTTTTATATGATTGACATCAAATAAATAAAAAATATGTACATGTCAATTTCTAGTCCATGGAAAATGAATTGATTAAATTACAAGTAATTCGATACGAGTTAATGGTCTGGAGCTTAAATCAGGATATGTTGGGTGGTGGGAGTGAGACATCGCCCACAACGGTGGATTGGGCAATGTCGGAAATGCTAAGAAATCCAAGAATCCTGGAAAAGGCGCAAGATGAGGTGAGACGATTTTTCGACGACAAAGGAGGATACGTCGATGAATCAAGAATTCACGAACTGAAATATTTAATGTCAATTATCAAAGAGACTCTGAGGCTTCACCTACCACTACCTCTATTACTTCCAAGAAAATGCAGAGAGAAATGCGAGATCAACGGATACGAGATACCGGTGGATACGAAAATCATCGTAAATGCGTGGGCTATTAACAGAGACCCTAAGTACTGGCGTAACCCGGATTGCTTCGAACCCGAGAGATTTCTTGATGAGGATTTGAAGGTTGATTACAAGGGTAATCATTTCGTGTATATCCCGTTTGGTGCCGGTAGGAGAATATGCCCTGGAATGGCGTTTGGTCTGGCAAATGTAGAGCTACCACTGGCTATGTTTCTATACCATTTTGATTGGAAGTTACCACCTGGAATGAAGCATGAAGAATTGGATATGTCGGAATCATTTGGGATCACAGCCAGGAGAAATGGTGATTTGTTTGTTGTTCCGGTTATTAAACGACCACTCCCGCCGCCTGTCAAATGATCGATGCGGAAGTTGTTGGTTTATTTTAATTTACATGTGGCTTAATGAATGTTTATTCAGAATAATCATTTAGTGTCAGTTGTGAAATTTGCTTGTTTGGTTATTTGTCTGTGTTGACATGTATAATTAAGTTATTTACGAATAAAAACGTTTGCTTAATCGCATTATCCCGCCTTTTTTATTTTATTTTTATTTATTTTTGCGGATTGCCGCTTGAATGGAAATATTTTGCACGATCGCACCTGAATTCGATTATTTGTGACATGTTACCATCTCTGGCTTACTTGCAGTCTAAAGCGCCCTGCACTCGTGCTAATTGTGCTGGAAAATTGCATTATAAGGGTGGTCGGCTGCGGTGTCTTGCAACGTAAATGGGCTCATGCTCCATTCCATATTTTTCGAGCCGATCAGTGCAGTACCTTTTGGAGCTGGCTTAAATCGCTCCAAAATGCCCTTACCAAGGACTGTTTTTACCTGGCAGTTATGGTCGCGTGGAAGCTTTGGGAGCGTCGTAACACGTTAGTGCATGGCGAGGAAGTGATGGATATTAATATGATTGTCCAATGGTGCGCTAGCTACTTGGAGGATTATAATGCGGCGCAGTTTCGTAAGCTCGCCGTCAAGGGAATGGTGCTGCCAAGAAGTGTGGAAACCGCCGCCGTGGGGTCACTACAAAATTAACGTTGACGCCACCTTCCCGGTGGGGACCGACTACTATCAGACTACTCTTGTGGTCAGGGATGGCATGGCGGGAGTGAGTGTATTTACTGGAAAGCTCGGCGATTTAGAGGCCGTGTCCGACCCATTGATGGTGAAGCTCAGGCGATTCGTCAAGCTCTGATAACGGCAAAGCTACATCAATGGAGCTCCATTATTATTGAGAGTGATTGCTTACAGGTTATGGAAGCGTTAAATAAGAATGAGGATTCACTTATTTCTTGTGGTGCAATTTTGGATGATTGTGTTATGCTCGCTCGACTTTTTGTTTCTGTTTCATTTTGCTTTGTTAAAAGGCAGGGTAATGTGCTTGCCCATAATTTGGCTGTTGTTGCTGTGTCTGATTGTCGGGATGGGGTTTCTCTCCCCCAACATTTGGCTTAATGCCCAATAATATTCTGTTCTCTTCAAAAAAAAGGGGGTTATTGTCAATATAAAATAGTATGTGGGGGGTTTTTAGAATTTCGATATAAGATTGTGGTACTATATACAATATCCAAAATTCGGAGAATCCGATGTTCAGAAACTGAAATACCTAAAGTTAGTGAACAAGGAAGGATTCAGGCTCCACGCGCCGATCCCATTAATCCCACGCGTTTCACAAGAGGACACCGAAATCGAAGGGTATATCATCCCAATCGGAGCCAAAGTGCTGGTGAATGCGTGGGCCATGGGCAGAGATCCGGATATTTGGGCCGACCCGAGATTCAACAATGACCCGAAAGATTTCACAGGAAACGGCTTTGATTATATTTCGTTTGTGGTGGAAGAAGAATGTGCGTGGAGTAACTTTTGGTTTAGCGAGTTTTCTTCTCGTCGTTTTTTCCAGTGTGTTTTATCCATCTATTATATCCTATCCTATTTTCTATACCACTGCAAGAAATAATCTTCTGAGTGACAACACTGATTTTCGCATGATTAGACAGAAAATGTTGTCACTGTACGTGGTTGTAACTAATGGGGTATCACTAATGCTGTATAGTAACATCAAAAGGAATTATTATTTTCACTTAATATATGTACTTGATTAATCAGGATATGTTGGGTGGTGGGAGTGAGACATCGGCCACAACGTTGGACTGGGCAATGGCGGAAATGGTAAAAAATCCAAGAATCTTGAAAAAGGTGCAAGACGAGGTGAGACGATTTTTCGACGATAAAGGAGGATATGTTGATGAATCGAGAATTCACGAACTAAATTATTTAATGTCAATTATCAAAGAAACCCTGAGGATTCATGCGCCATTTCCTCTGTTGCTTCCATGAAAATGCAGAGAGAAGTGCGAGATTAATGGATACGAGATACCGGTGGATACTAAAATCATCGTAAATGCGTGGGCTATTAACAGAGACCCTAAGTACTGGCGTAACCCGGATTGCTTTGAGCCCGAGAGATTTCTCGATGATAATTTGGGAGTTGATTACAAGGGTAATCATTTCGAATATATCCCGTTTGGTGCCGGTAGGAGAATATGCCCTGGAATGGCGTTCGGTATGGCAAATGTGGAGCTACCACTGGCTATGTTTCTATACCATTTTGATTGGAAGTTGCCAGCTGGAATGAAACATGAAGAATTGGATATGTCGGAATCGTTCGGGGCCACAGCCAGGAGAAACGGTGATTTGTTTGTTGTTCCGGTTATTAAACGACCACTCCTCCCGCCTGTCAAATGATCGATGCGTCGTAATGGAAGTTGTTGGTTTTATTTTAATTTACATGTGGCTTAATGAATGTTTATTCGGAATAATCATTTATTGTTAGTTGTGAAATTTGCTTGTTTCTTGCTTGAATCAATGTTTGTCTGTGCGTTGACATGTATCTTTAATTGAGTTATTTATGAATAAAAACATTGGTTAATACTTAATAGCACCTGAACACAATTATTTATGCCATGTTACCACCGTCTTCGACACATTTCCAGTTCAAAATGCTCGAAAAATGCATTATGTTTGTAGTTTATAGCATCTATTACTAGAGTAGAGGTCTATGGTTCGAATCTTGCTTCTCCCCTACTACGTCCCCAATTTGTAACATTGTTTGAATTTCGTTAACAAAGCAAAATGCATCATAAGGAGGTTATTGTCAATATAAAATAATATGTGGGATTTTTTAGAGATTCGATACAAGTCATGGGTATTAAATACAATGAGTAAACTCCAAAAATGTATGCCTGTGTAATCACAAAATAGCAAATACCCCATGATAAATAAACTAGTAAAAAAATCCCTGAGAATTTGTTTGAAACAGCACATTCGACCCATTGTGATTTTAGTCTTTGACCAAAGGTACGATGACAAATGTATCCTTCGATAAAATAATATAAAATTACAATAACATAAAACCGAGGCCAAATTGAATGCAAAAATAACTCAAGAGGTGTTAGGTACAGGTTCTTTTCAAAACAGCCATAGATCTGTAACACAGATAGAAAAACAAAAGGAAATGAAAACAATAAGAGAATATTGAAAAAGAACGGCTCAGTTCCCTTTTCCAGTGTTCATACTGTCGATCCTAGGTCTGGTGGTAACACCAACCGAAAACAAGCACCAACCAACGCCACTGAAAATTGAGTTTATCGCCCTTGAGTTGTAATTGGCAAGTAATATCTCTTCATTAGTCCATGTTTCTTCTGGTTTTACCGTTTGCATACCATCCGTTCCTTTAGCCATGGGCGGGGTCCAACCAGTCACGATAGCACGCCAAGCTCGTTCATCAACGGACTTGATGAACATCTTCATCTTCGATTTCCAGTAAGAGTAATTTGATCCATTCAAGAGAGGTGGTCGTACTGTAGACGTTCCTTCACGATGAAGCATATCTGCACAAAACAAATTAAAAAATTAAATCCCAAAATCTCACTAAGTGTATCTAGTGACAGACTCTTGATGCCAATTGTTCGAATTTATTTCGTGCAGATATAAATTATTTGTGTCCGATGAATTCCAGATTCAGTTTTAAATACCGTTTTACTGTTTTACGAAGAGTTGCAACAGTTAATGAAACAGTAATAAAAAGACACAAATTTTAAAGTGGTTCGGATACAATTGTACCCTACATCCACGGGGACATGCAAATGAAATTTACTAATTTTTAGTTTTACGAATACAATATTATGACTTAATCAAAATACAAAGACTCCCTCTTTGTTGACGCCGTTCTTGTATACTACGTTAAATTATAAATCTTCAATTTGCAGCACGTCCTTTGCTCCGCACGGTTGAACTCCCTTCAACGCTGAATCCCTCAGTCGGCGGATCGATCTCCTCCCGAGATCTGTTTAAGCCCCTCTCCCGAAGAACCGATCTTCTTTTTGTATAGAAGAACCAAACTTGTGATACTCCTTGAATCTTGGTGTCTTCACCACAAAGACTTGAAGCCGGTATATTTTCTATGAAAATCACGTATCACGATGGAGCAATAAAAACGAGAGGAAAAATATTTTCTCTTGAACTTCTCTCGATGAAAAAGCTGTAGGAGCAACAAAGAAAGGAAAAATATTTTTTCTCCAAAAAAAACACGCAACAGCAACGAGGAAAAGAGAAATATTTTTCTCTCCAGCAAGACGCCAATAAAAACGAGAGTAAAGAAAATATTCTGTGTATTTTTTTCTCTCCAAGAAGGCGTGAGATCTTAGGCGCCGTGTTGCTGTATTTATACTTCTACATGTTATAAGACTCCTACAAGGAAATAGAGTCCATTAGGGTTAGGAAACTTTTAATTACGTAGGAAATAATATTTTCAATACAAGGAAATTCTTTAGAAGAATAATTCATATTATAAATCAATTAATGACAAATTAAAAGAATTAAAAGCTACAAGGACTCTTCCCTTCTTTAGCTCACGGTATATGAAAACTTGTGGCACAAGTTTTATTAATTCTCGTACAATTAGAATCCATGGATTCTAACAGTAGCTATAGGCTCAAAAGACCAAAGTACCCTTTTAAATTTTCAATTCCAGCAAAAACACTACCTGGATTTGACTTTTGGGGCAATTTGCAACTATAATAATATAATCAAGAGGATGTTCACTTTTTTCGTATTCTGGGGGGTTAGTACGAATAATGGATTTTTTTTCAGGGGTTGAAGTGTTATTTGCCCAATTAGTTAGTTTTCAACGAGAATAAATATATATATAAACGAAATTGGCTTTTTTATTTTTATTTTTTTATGAATAAACGAAAGTGACTTGAAAATTAAAGTAATAGATAGCTGATGCAATTTTTTTAGACTTGGTCAATAAACAATACTACCTCACCTTGTCGCAGTATGATTCAAACAATGGGAAAAAATTAGCTCATATGTCGATACAATGAATTATTTATTTCCATTCCAAACAACAAATTATTGGAGATTAATATTAAACGGTTTATTCCCTTTCACTTCAAGCTTAAACGTTTGTTGTGGTGATCATTATCTCACTGTAACTCATTTCAAATAATTCAGATATAATTCTTGCACAAACAAGAATATAATTGACAGGTTTAGTTAATTATTAAAAAAAATTATTTAGAAATTATTAAGTTCATTGGAATTTAAAATGTTTGTTCGATTTTGTTAGAATATAATTAACTCACAATTTCGACGGAAAGAGACTATATAGTCATAAAATAATAACTACAATTGAAGTTAATTGATCGTGACGAATTACCGGAAAATGTACAGCTCATGTGGATTATATTTTATTTTATTAATCTTCTTCCTCGAGGCTGATATTTTAATATATTTTTTTCTTGGCATTAACAATTGGCATGTGATTTTATTTTATTTATAATTATGTACCTCGAGACTCTCATATTTTAATGATTTTCACTTGCAATTTATCTCCCATTTTGCGCCATCACATTAACTAATCACAATTTGCTCCAACAATATAATAAAATATTAAAATTTTATCAACTAAGTTATAATTGAATATTTGGTTGATGGAGAATATTAATTAATAATTATATATTGTGATTCAATCTGCTCGTTAGAGTAGCGGAACTGAGCCCGGATATGAGTGTGAAGATATATTATCTTAATTATTTGTATAAGCTACCTAATACTTGTTTTAATTACTCCATTTTAATATATAGTTTGGAGTTCAATTATTGCACTGTAACAAAAACTCACAATTCAACGGTATAGTATCACTATTTTTTTTATTTTTTTTTCATTTTCGCACTTCCTACCTAAAAATTCAAAAAATGGATAACCCCATCCGAAATATTGTTTTGGTTGAACTTTGCCCCAACACCTAATTTTCGGTAGGCACCGAGCAACAAAAAAATAACATTTAAAAGGCCAATGTGCAATAAAAACACTCAATTCCGGTGAATAATGCATCTTTATTTTGCTATGGGAGCAATGTGCAACAAGATTAACATTTTGAAGGGGCCATTTACTTTTTAAAACTTTGAGGGGATAAAGTGCGATAATAAGAATTCTATAGGGGTATAAAACAAAAAAAAATTCCAATGGATTATTCATCGTAATTGAGTATTTTTGTTGCACGTTGCCCCTTTAAATGTGATTTTTATTGCACGTTGCCCCTAAAAAAAACATTACCTTTTTGCACATTGCCCCTTTAAATATTATTTTTGTTGCACAATGCCCGCCAAAATTTGGCATATGGGGCAAGTGCAATCAATATAATATTTCGAAGGGGGAATATCCATTTTTTTTATTTTGAGGGGGAAAAGTGCAAAAAATAGAAATTTAAAGGGGGCAAAGTGCATTTTGTCCATTGTTTTATCACGAGAGTTTTTGTCACTATCAGAATAACAAAGGGGGTTTGTGCCAGTAGCTCCATAAAATAGTAATTGCAGTTCATTAATCCTGACGGAAACAGAAGATGTACATCTCAAGTGGCTTTTATTTTAAGGTTAAGTTCACTTTGCCAACGAAATTTAGGTCGTTTTTGCACTTTCGCCCTCCAGAAAAGAAAGAATTGCATTGTCATGCATCAACTTACTAATTTGTTGCACCAATGACTTAAAAGTCCAGTTTTTGGCCAAAATATTCCCTCAGTTGCACACGTTCCATGTGCAAGTGACAATGGAGGGGCAATTTCCGATTTATCACCGCTGCACCGATTAATCGTGAGTAGGTCCCTGATCGCCTCCGACCCGATTACCGCTTTTTACAACCTTGATATATATATATCAAATCTTGCATAAGCAAAAAAAAAGAAAAGAAGAGAAAAAAATCAACTTGGCATAGCCCTGATGGATCTCTTGTTTCCATTATCCCTGCCAATTCTTGTGTCCTTGTTCATACCCATTTTCATTTTCTTCATCTTCAAGCTGATCAGAACAAAAAAGTCAACTCGAAATCTGCCACCAGGGCCATGGAAGTTGCCTCTGATAGGGAATATGCACAATCTGATTGGCTCTCTTCCCCACATTGCTCTACACGAATTGGCCCTGATATACGGGCCGGTGATGCACCTTCAGCTCGGCGAACTCTCGGCCGTTATAATTTCATCACCCGACGCCGCAAAGCAGGTGATGAAAACCCACGACATAAACTTCGCATCAAGGCCGTCGATCATCGTGATGGAGATTCTCAGTTACAACTGCACGAACGTCGCGTTTAGCGAGTACGGTGATTACTGGAGGCAGCTGAGGAAGATCTGCACGCTGGAGCTCCTGAGCATGAAGCGCGTCTCGTCTTTCCGTTCGATAAGAGAAGAGGCGTTTCTTGATCTCGCTAGATGGTTATTGGATTATAAGGATCAGCCTGCAGCAGTTAATTTGACGGAGAAGCTCTACTCTTGCGCCTATTCTCTCATTTCAAGGGCAACGTTTGGTAAGAAATCCGAGGCTAACGAGAGATTGCTATCCATAATCAAAGAAGGTATCGTGTTGGCGGCGGGGTTTAATGTTGCGGATGTTTATCCTTCGATCAAGTTGCTTCAAATGATGAGTGGATTGAGGAGGAAGGTGAAGAAGCTGCACGGAGAAGCTGATTGCATACTTGATGACATCATCCATGAACACAGATACAGTAAGAACGAGAAGCAAACATCAGATACTGATCTGTTAGATGTTCTTCTCGGATTCCAGGGCGGCGACGACGGGATTGATATCCCGTTGACAACTGACAACATTAAAGCTGTAATCATGGTCAGTTTTTTCTTCTCATGTATTTATCCTAGGTTTTTATTTTATGTGTGCTCGCCACAAAAAAAAAAATAAAAAAAAATGGATGATTGAGTATTGATCCATATTATCAAATTAAATTTAAAAGATGGATGATTGAAACAAGGGCAAGACTAAGAGTTACTTGATATATATATAATTTAATAGGTATAATTTCATGAAATAGATTTTAATTGAGGGTAATTATTTTAGAAATAAAGTGTATTATTCCAACAAATTATCTGCTGTTGAATCAGGATATGTTGGCTGGTGGGAGTGAGACATCGGCCACAGCGTTGGATTGGTCAATGGCGGAAATGCTAAAGAATCCAAGAATCCTGGAAAAGGCACAAGATGAGGTGAGACGATTTTTCGACGATAAAGGAGGATACGTCGATGAATCGAGAATTCACGAACTAAAATATTTAATGTCAATTATCAAAGAAACACTGAGGATTCATGCGCCATTTCCTCTGTTGCTTCCAAGAAAATGCAGAGAGAAGTGCGAGATTAATGGATACGAGATACCGGTGGATACTAAAATCATCGTAAATGCGTGGGCTATTAACAGAGACCCTAAGTACTGGCGTAATCCAGATTGCTTTGAGCCGGAGAGATTTCTCGATGAGGATTTGGAGGTTGATTACAAGGGTAATCATTTCGAATATATCCCGTTTGGTGCTGGTAGGAGAATATGCCCCGGTATAGCATTCGGTATGGCAAATGTAGAGCTACCACTCGCTATGTTTCTCTACCATTTTGATTGGAAGTTGCCACCTGGAATGAAGCATGAAGAATTGGATATGTCGGAATCATTTGGGGTCACAGCCAGGAGAAACAATGATTTGTTTGTTGTTCCGGTTATTAAACGACCACTTCCACCGTCTGTCAAATGATCGTTGCGTAATTTCACAGAAATAACGGAAGTTGTATGGTGGTTTATTTTAATTTTCATGTATTGATGAATGTTTGTTCAGAATGATCATCGTGTCGGTTGTTTAACTGGCTTTGCTCTTTTTTTTTTTTTTTTTTTTTTCTCTGTTTGAACATTTGTCAGTGTTGACATGTATAATTGAGTTATTTATGACTAAAAACGTGTGGTTAGCAGCATTTTACCGCCTATTTTTTTTTTTGTCATTTTTTGTGAATCGCCGCCCGAATGAAAGTATTTTGCACAATCCCACCTGAACTGCCATTAGTGTACCTTCTTTACAATTTTGACTGAAAATTGCCTGCCGGAATGAGTCCCGGCGACGATCATGGCGGCCAGAAGGCAAAAACATATAGTACTATACGTGTGTCTGTTGATAAAATGTTTCAATTTCTGGTGGATATCGGTGTTTCCTTGTGTATGATAGACTACTGTAAAATAAATTGACAATTAATCATAGTCTATTATAAGAATTAATTCATAACAAATAAAGAATATCTTGATTATTGAAACATATTACTGCGCGAGCATTTCGACTAGATCTCGAAAGAATGAACAAGTAATGCTATGATATGAGGCTTGAGCCCTTTCTCCGAATGCGTGTATCCATCTTGTTCATGCTTATAAGTGATCTCGGCTACTCTTGCCCAGTTGAAAACTCGCACGAGAATCTCCATCGAGACAGAATTATCCAAGAACCCTTCGTTCAGATCTTTCCATCCAATTTCAGCAATTTCATTTAAGCGCTGCATTGCTACTTGTTTCGATACACCATGCTCGTTCATGTAGCAATCAATCCCAGTCGTAGCTTGCCCTCTTTTCTTCTCGTCCTTACATAAATAAAAATTACATAAAAATATTACAAGATTATATATATATATATATAATGTAGACATTTTTTATATTTTTAATATAAATTAATAGAGATTTTAGAACCATGGCCCCGCCCCTACGCTGGCTCCGCCACTGTCTTATTATATATATGTACATACATACCTCGTAGGTGGAAATATCATCGATGATACGAGTTACTTTGTTATCAGCTCTGAGAATTTTAGGTCTTGCCAAAAGCCAATCAAATACTTCAATTGTAGCATTTTCCATGCCAACGAAGGATGTTACGGTCAAATAGTAGCAACCACAGGTAATCTCTGCTTGGCGCATGTACTCATCAAATGCCGGCAAATGATCACGTTTGACGAACCATTTAGCCTCAGCGTAGTAACTCCTCACAATTTCCTTCGCCTGGTCATCAAAACATTGCAAGTTAATTAGGTTATCATGTAATGATACATCAATTTTTAGAAACATAAAAATAATAACGAAATGCAATGAATGACCCGGATTATATTAATTAATATATACATACCGCCTCCTTGGCGTAATGAACAGCATATGATCTTCCTTTTGGAGATAACTCTGCATCGAATGATTCATAAAGATCTAATAGAGCTCTATAGCATATCTTCATGTAGTCTGGGAGTCGATCTATTTCGCTTATATCCCATCTGACACATATTTATGTATTCATTATCAGTACGTTAAAAGAGGAAAGAAAAAAAATAAAAAATAAATAAATAAAAGTGATATTTTGTGCTCAGACACTCTTTACTTTTGTATGGCATCGGTGAAAACATGTAGTTCTTCGACTGTACCATATGAATCATAGGTGTCGTCAATAATAGTTATAACGGCTATGGTTTTAGCCAGAATAATTCGAGCACTAGAATATTGTGGCTCGGAATAAATCCCCAGAGCCCAAAAATAGCACTCAACAATTCTATCTCTAGCATAGGAAACCCGGGAAACTGTCTTCCACCACCTATTATACACCCAAAAAAAAAAGGCAAAGAATAATATTAATAGTAACATGAAAACTATAATATTAAGAGTGTTCAAGGATATTAGATGTATGCATCCATACGGTATGTATAGTACCTCATTACTTCATAGAGTTCCTTTTTGTGCAACATTTGTAGCAAATTGAAATCCAACTTCGCCAGCCTCAACAACGACTCGTTCTTTGGTTTGGACTCATCGTACAGCGATATGAAATAATGCGATTCAACTCTCGGGATGCTCCGGAAGAGGGACTGATCAAGAGCATGCAAAACTTGTTTCTTGAGAGGCGATTCGGGTAAATTAGGAGCAATAGACTCTAGATTGGCTTTACAGAAAGTAAAAGCCTTGTCCAAAATCTCCTCCCCTTGTCTTCTCAAATATGATGCTTCATATAGACTTAACACACCCTTAGTATCATCGTTACTGTCGACTAGGCTCTTCTTGAATTCACCGTTATTTTCCGTAAATCTATTGAAAATGGCTGCATATATATATATATACACGTTTATCCAAAACTCAATTAAAGATTGAGTTAAATACATTTACATATAGAGAGATAGAGATAGAGAGATATAACTTATTGCATTTACTACCCTTGTGAAACTCAGGGAAAATTTAGCAATTACCACCATGCTTATTAGTCAAAGGCGAGAATCCTGTCGGAGCAAATCGTGTATCTCACTCGTGGATTGTGCGTGTATCTTCCTTTTATAGCCTATGAAATGACAGAATTGCCCTAGCCTACACCATCATCTCTCTCTCTCTCTCTCCTGTCTTCTTCGTCTTCTTTTCACTTCTTACTACTTTCTCTCTGATCACATCTATAATACAGGCCAAAACACACAATTGAACCTGAAATCTAGCCCCTTCTTTCAATAGAAGCTCGTTAATTTTGATGTTGCTCTTGAATTCGGAATCGGAACGCGTAAAATCGACATCTTTACAAAAGGGCATAATTTTATTGAAGCGGAAGTGGGGAATTTTGGTGCGGGATTACTGACCCGGCAGGATTTTTTGAAGAGGGGTATGGAAGTACAAACGGATTCCGCCATTTCAGGCGAGGGGTGTTTCTCGCCGAGTGGGATTCCGCCATTTCTGGCAACGAGGGCTTTGTGGATTTGGAAAGCGGCGATTTTATTAAATGTCTTAAGTGAAAGGCCATTGGAATTAATCTCTCTCTCTCTCTCACCTTTAACGGAGAAAAAGAAGATGGCGGCGGAGATGGGTTCATCCACCGGCGGAGTGAAGAAGCAACTAAAAGCTCCGCTGTTCCTGTGAAGACGATGACGACGAACTCTTTTTTTTTTTCTTTCTTTAATTATTTTTAAGAAAATTGCAATTTAACCTCTTTAAATTTCTGCAATTTTTAAAAAGTTCAATTGGGTCCTTTTACTTTTGAAATTTACTTTAATTAGGAATGAGTAGGGGTGTGAACGAGCCGAGCTCGAGCCGAGCTCGCCTCTTTTGGCTGGCTCGAGCTCGAGCTCGAGTTTATTTTGTCGAGCTCGAGCTCGTCGAGTTCTTCTTTTTCTGGCTCGAGCTCGAGCTCGTGTTAATTTTGTCGAGCTCGAGCTCGAGCCCAATCCCTTTTTTTTTTTTTTTCTTTTTTTAAATATTATTTTATTATTATTTTATTATTAAAAAATATTTTAAATAATTACAAAATAAACACAAAATTGTGATTATATATTTTTTTTAATATTTGTATTTATTTCTATAATATTTTATATTATTATACATTTTTAAATAAAAATAACATATAAAAAATAAAAAAAAATAAAAAAAAATAAAAAAATATTAATAAATCCGGCTCGCGAGCCGGCTCGCGAGCTGATGAACAACTAAAATCGGACTCGAGCTCGGCTCGTCAGAAAGCTCGAGCTCGCGAGCTCGAGCTCGAGCTCGAAAACCTCGAGTCCGAGTTCGAGCTTTTTACGAGCCGGTTCGTCGAGCTCACGAGCCGGCTCGGCTCGTTTACCACCCCTAGGAATGAGGCTTTTCTTTTTGCAAAAACATCCGTGTGTATTTTTTTCATTTCACAACTGGTCAATGGGGAAAAGGTTAACGGGTGGAGCGTACTGTCTAAAAATAAGCATGGGGTATTTGCTAAACTTTTTATGCAGGGGAAATCGCGCAGTTTCACAGCGGTAGTAAATACAATAAGCGCTCTTTCTCTCTCTATATATATATACACACATAGAGAGAGAGAGATTAATTTTCTATTAATTATAGACATATATATATATATAAAGGAACAAGGTACTTACAAGAAGGTGCATCCAAGGCACGCTGCCTCAATAATCTGAACTGCAATGCAATGATGAACAAGTCATCTTCCTCTTCCGGATCGAGTTTGAAATGGCCATTGAAAGCTAATGTGAGCTGTTGTTGTATTTCATTTTCAAAGTGATATGATAAACCGAGTCGTTCGATTGTGTCAATCAAAACCAGTTTCTCCGACAATTTGCTGTCACCCGAGACTATCATATTTCTCGTTTCTTCCTTTAATACCTTAATCTCTTCAGTGTACGTATCTGATAGCTGTGCACCACATGATAAATATTTTAGTTCATCGGGATCGCATAATGGAATTTATATCTTTCCTTGTGTAATCTCAAACTAGTCCATAGAAAATAAAAAAAATAGACAAAAAAACCCCTATACGTTTTAGACAAAACGCTCGACCCATTTTGCCATTTACGCATTGACTGGTCGTGAAAAGATAAAAAAACACCCCGCGCGAGATTTTGCAATGAGAAAAGCCCAACCCTTGAAGTTAAATATATAATGTAAAAATTTTAAGGGACTAAAATGAATTTATGAAAAAATTTAGGAACTTAAGGGAGTTAATTGCAATTTTTCAAAACTTTAATTAAAATCCGCCGCCATGCCGGAACAAACCAGGAATCAGATTCCGGCCTAACCACCATCGCCGCACCGCTTCACCACCTTTCATTGATTTTCTTTTATTTTTGTATTATTTTCATTTTCAAAATTAATCAACGTTAAATGAACTAAAAAGTGATGATGAGAAATTTAATTACCTGGAAATCCTCCATGTTAAATGAACTAAAAAGACCATCCCACAAACTGGGAGGGAAATTAGCTGTGACGGGTCGTACAATATCATTTTCAGAGTTCACGGTGGGCCTTTTTACTTCACTGGAGGCCATTGCAACAACATTTCTGCGTGCAGCAAATATGTATGTATTTATAATAATGTTACGTTTAAAAATATTTTATTACGTATAAAGCTAGAACTGTGATGAAAGTAAAAGAACACATGCCTACTACGTCGGAGCGGAGTGGAAGTGGCCGGAACAGCCGTTGCACGATGGGAACGGCTAAATATCGGCGATGAAATCCAAAAAACTGTAGAAAATGCCATTGCTCTCTCTCTCTCTCTAGATCTCTCTCTATATATATATGATCTCTAGCTCCTTGGATAATAATACTTCTGGTTTATGAAGAAAGCATATATATGTTGGTTATAAAAGGGTTTTTTGCAGAAATCAACCATCTGTCATCTCTAATTGCTGAAAAAATCCTCGTATTAAAAGTATTAACCTAAAACCCCCTATAAAAATTATTCAATGTCAATAAGGGCTCTACGAGCTGAATGTGTGTTGCACGCGCGGATTTCACGACTTGAGGTATGTATTTGACCTAAAAAGACCAAAATACCCTTTTAAATTTCAATTCCAGCAAAAACACTACCTGGATTTGACTTTTGGGGCAATTTGCACCATAATAATATTTTCAAGGGGATGTTCACTTTTTTCGTATTCTGAGGGGTTAGTGGGAATAATGCATTTTTTCTGGGGTTGAAGTGTTATTTGCCCAATTAGTTACTTTTCAAGAGAACATATATATATACACACACGAAGGTGACTTAAAAATTAAAGTAATAGATAGCTGATACAATTTTTTCAGACTTGGTCAGTCAATAAACAATACTATCACCTTGTCGCATTATGATTCAAACAAAGGAAAAAATTACAATGAATTATTAATTATTTCCATCCGAAACTAAAAAATTACAATGAATTATTAGGTGGTCAGTAAATATGGTATTGGAGGCATTTTAAATTGTTAGAATCCGAGAGGATTCTGATTTTGGTTTTTCGGCACGTGTGTGAAAAACGTGTGTCTAAAGCACTGGCGGTACTACATAGGGGCAGGGAGGGGGCAGTTGACCCCCCAAGAAAAAAAAAAAATTTTTTTTTTTTTGCTGTTTTGGCATAATATTTTTATAATATTACCTTTGGCACCCCCAAAGGTTTTGTAAATATGCATTTTAACCCTTAATTTTTTTGTTTATTCTCCACAATTTTATATAAATTATAGATATATATTATATTTAATATAAAAATATAAAATAAAATGGTTAAAACTTGTACTATTTTAAATAAAATTTATGAATATTTACTTATCGATCTTTAAATTTTTATATCAATGTCTCTAAAAAATAATACGAGAAGTGCCATAAATCCCATTAAGTGCAATATATTATTAGAATAATTTAGATTTTTTTGTCATACTTGAAATATGATAAAATTATATATATATATATATATATATATATATATATATATATATATATATATATATATATATATCATTTTAATTAAAAATTCGCAGTATAAACCTATTTTTTTAATGTCTGGTGAACCTAAAAATTTTTTCGGGGCGCTCCCCCGAACCCCGAAATTTTATTCCGCCCCCCCTACATTCTAATCCTGGTTCCGCCCCTGGTCTAAAGCTAGGGAAGTTTCCTTAATGCCTTAAACTCTTATTTTGTCATTAATTTATTTTAATTGTATAAGTGATGTGTTAACAAGGAATTTCCTTGACAAAGACTTTCCTTGTTACACAATTCCTTTTCTTTACGTGAGATTGAAACTAACCCTAATGGGCTTTGTTTTTTTTCTACAGGATTCTTATTTTTTCATAGAATATAAGAAGCAGCACAACATGGCGTTTAATTGCGCGTCTTTTTGAGAGAAACAAATCTCTCGTTTCTTTGTTGGTGTTGCACGTCTTCTTGGAGAGAAAAATTTACAGAGGATATTTGTCGTTACTCTCGTTATTTTATTGACGTCTTTTTATCGAGAGAAGTTCAAGAGAAAATAATTTTTTTTCCTCTCGTTTTTATTGCTCCATCGTGATACGTGATTTTCATAGAAAATATACCGGCTTCAAGGCTTTGTGTTGAAGACACCAAGATTCAAGGAGTATCACAAGTTTGCTTCTTCTATACAAAAAGAAGATCGGTTCTTCGGGAGAGGGGCTTAAACAGATCTCGGGAGGAGATCGATCCGCCGACTGAGGGATTCAGCGTTGAAGGGAGTTCAACCGTGCGGAGCAAGGGACGTGCTGCAAATTGAAGATTTATAATTCATCGTAGTTTACAAGAACGACGTCGACAAAGAGGGAGTCTTTGCATTTCGATTAAGTCCTATCATTGTATTCGTAAAACTAAAAATTAGTAAATTTTATTTGCAGGTCCCCGTGGATGTAGGGTACAATTGTATCCGAACCACATTAAAATTTGTGTCTCGTTTATTTCTGTTTTTACGAACTGCTTCACGAACTGTTGCAACACTTCACGCAACAGTAACGAAAAACTGAATCTGACACAAATAATTTATATCTGCACGAAATAAATTCTAACAATTGGCATCAGAGCCTGTCACTAGATACACTTAGTGAGATTTTGGGATTTAATTTTTTAATTTGTTTTATGCAGATATGTTTCATCGTGAAGGAGCGTCTACAGTACGACCACCTCTCTTGGATGGATCAAATTACTCTTACTGGAAATCGAAGATGAAGATGTTCATCAAGTCAGTTGATGAACGAGCTTGGCGTGCTATTGTGACTGGTTGGACCCCGCCCATGGCTAAAGGAACGGATGGTATACAAACGGTAAAACCAGAAGAAGCATGGACTAATGAAGAGATATTACTTGCCAATTACAACTCGAGGGCAATAAACTCAATTTTCAGTGGCGTTGGTGACAATCAGTTCAAACTGATAGCATCGTGTGAATCAGCAAAAAGGGCATGGGAGATCCTACAAGTGACGTATGAAGGCACATCAACTGTTAAAACATCTAAGTTGCAGATGCTAGCCACGAGATTTGAGAGTCTTCATATGGAGGAGGACGAGACGATTGCTGATTTCCACGCTAAGCTATGTGATATTTCAAATGAATCGTATGCACTAGGTGAACAATACTCGGAAACAAAGTTGGTAAGAAAGGCACTACGTTCATTACCAGAAAGATTCGCTTACAGAGTTGCAGCAATCGAAGAAGTGAGAGATATCAATACGCTAAAGCTAGATGAACTCATGGGTAAACTGCAAACTCAAGAAATGAATTTTAGAGCAAATATTCGAGAAAAGAAAAAGGTGAAGAATGTGGCATTCCAAGCTGAAGCTTCCCATGGCATCTCACAAGGCCAAACATTTCATGAGTGTGACATTGATGTTGAAGAATCCTTAGCAATTATGTCAAATAACCTCGAAAGCCTGCGTCAAAAAATTGAAAATAGAGAAAATTCCTCTCAATCAGGTAAGTCTGTTAACCCTAACAAATTTAAAAAGTTTTCTAATAATGGTTATTTTGGTGATGCAAAGTCTAGGAGAAAGCAATGTCGAGAGTGTGGGGGTTTTGGACATATTCAGGCCGAGTGTGCGAACACTTTAAAGAAAAACAAGATGTCACTCACCACTATTTGGAGTGATAAAGAGGACAGTGATGAGGAAGATAACAACAAAGGAGATCAAACCACTAACTTTATGGCATTCAGTGGTACTACTTCGATGAGCAGAACCGAGGGAACTGTTGCAACAGTCTGTCCGACAGATTTCAGGTATGATGAATTATCTTTAAATAAGGACAATAGTCTGACTTCATCATTTAATTTTGCAGGTGAATCTGAGAGCAGTAGTGATGATGAAGAGCCAACCCTCGAAGAGGTGAAAGATGTATATGAAAAAATGTATCGGAAGTGGCTTGAAGTATCTGAGGTAAATAAGCGCCTTGAAAATGATAAGCATGTTCTCATAGAGGAAAATAAAGTGTTGAAGGTAAGAATTTCTACTCTTGAACAAAATGTTATTTCTTCTAGTAGAGAAATAGATAGCTTGCAGGTTGAATTTGCTCAAACTCAAGATGTTATTTCTAAGTTTAATACTGGTAGAGTAACTTTGAATGAAATTTTGAACAAAAATCAGCCGAACTACTGTCGTATAGGTATAGGGGGTAACCAGCTATCTACTGGTGCATCGAAACAGAAAGAAAATCCTAAAAGAAAAATCAATTTTGTTAAGCAATCCACTGTTTCACAGACTGTTGCGACAGTTGCACCAACACAGCCATTTCAAAGAAAAGTTTTTGTCCTACCTGTCATTTTTGTCATGTTCCTGGTCATATACGACCCAGGTGTTTTAAGTACTTGAAAATGGTTAAAAGAATAATGGCCCGCTCACCACTTTCCGCTAAAATTGATCACACTTTTGTGTCGTCTCAAAAACCCAAGATAAAGGTTGATTTAGTGAATAAAACTCAACAAAAAATCTGGGTAAAGAAGTCTGATCTTAATTGTTTATCTGCCATTACTTCTTTAAACTCATGTGATGATAGTACTAACTGTTCCAACAGTTCTGGTGACAAAGCTAGTTTGGGGAATAAAAAACTTGGTAATCTGAATTGTGATAATTTGTATGCGAAAAATAAGTTTATGAATCCAATTCAGCATTCGAGAACTAAGCTTACTGATATTTGTCATCTTTTCATAAGGGGCTTGGTCGAAAAGGGGGTTGTCTCAATTGATTATGCTGCAACAGAGAATGAATTAACTGATGCTTTTGCAAAAACCCTTGATGCACAGAGATTTGATTCCTTGCGAAAATCGCTGGGAATTTATGTTGTTTAATCTGATGCAGTTGCATGAACTGTTGCAACAGTCTGTGTGTCCAGACTTGCAACTTTTAGTGGTAGGACACTTCATATGTTTTTGCATCTCATATAGGACCTGCATTAAGCATACTGCATATGATTGAGACTAATGTGAGTTTGATACTTCGTGTACTTCTAAATTTGTGGGGGTAGAACTTCACCAATTCCCAAAATGATTACTTAAAAGGCTCCAACTTATTTATTTCTCTGAATAGTCTTGTCATGGTTGGATGTTTTTATAGGGAAAAGCTGCCTCTTTTAATGAGTGAAAGCTACTCTTGAACTACTGTTACTAATATATATATCTACAACCATTTGGTCAGTGAATAGTTCGAAGCCTTTTTGAGTCGAGTCAGTAAATCACATGGCCGAAAGCTCGCTACATGGCTCAATTAGAAAGCCCAGGGGACTACACATTGCACGGCAATATAAATTTTATAAATGGCCAGTGAATAGTTCGAAGCCTAATTGAGTCGAGCCAGTAAACCACTTGACCGAACACTCACTACAAGGCTCAATTAGAAAGCCCAGGGGACTACACATTGCACGACCACCATAATCCCGTTCCTTTTAATTGCTATGTTTTTCATGGGAAAAAGCTACCATTAGACGTGTGTGTACGCTACCTAATAAGAGCATCTTTGTGTTTGACTTGGGATTATTAAGTTTGTTGGTTGCATTGGCAGTCGGATTTTTGGGGATTGCGCTTATTGTGAATGTGAAGATAAATCCCATATATTTTGTTTGTCCATGCAGTATCCTATTCACATATGTCTCTTCACTCATGTTTATTTCTCATGTTTACTTCTTGTCTTGCATTCGGCATTATTTAAAAAAAAAAAAAAAAAAAAAAAAAAAAAAAAAAAAAAGAGAAAGAGAGACGGGATTTTTGTTTATGTGCCGGTTAAATTTAATTTTTTGTTGCAGCCGGATCTATTGAGTTTACTCCTCTCATCTCCACGTTTCTTAGGAAGTTTGGCAAAGTCTGTAGTCTTTGTTATTTAATGTTGGATTTGATATCACTATCCTTTGATTTTCGCATTGCAATTATCGTGTGGTATTGAGTTTGTGAGTTTGTGAGTTTGTGATTTTGTGTGCACGACATGTATGGTGATTCTTCTCACTTACTTTCAAGATTCTCTCTTCGTTTGATCTTTTTGTTAAGTGTTTGAACAGCTTGCTCGAATAATCAAGATCATTAGTCCATGTTGCATTATCTATGCATGGTGATTGCCCAGAAAGGGGGAGAAAATAACAGTAACAAATGGCATGAACACAGGGGGAGTTCCGACAACTGTTGCTTCAGTGCATCAGACAGTTGCTGGGCAGAAATATAGGAGAAATAATAAGCATTGTGCAGAGAAGTTGTTACTGCTACTGCAGATCCTTTTATCTCGAATTATCTGAACGAATTATCTGCCTTTATTTTGGAACTATGGTTTATTTACGGTTTACACTATCTGCTGAACTGTTTGATAAACTGTTGCAACAGTTTATATGTGCAGATGTTATTCTGAATTTGCTAACCCTTGTTCATGCAGGCATCATATATTTAGGGGGAGTAAATATTCTGACCAATCAATGCCAAAGGGGGAGAGTGTTAGAATCTCGGTGGGATTCTAAGTCCACAACACCAAGTGGAATTCTATGGAGATGTTTATTGTCATTAATTGGTTTAGGTCTTCACAAGAATATAAAAGGAGGAGTTATAATGCCGACGTTATTTGCTGAGTCTTTTATCACGTGGGTGATTTACCACGTCGCCCTCCAAGTCTACAAAGCCAAGTAAGCAAAGGGGAAGAATGAAGTCATTTACAAGGGGAGCTGCCTAAGGATCATTCATAGTGGAAGATAGACATGCAGGGGGAGCTGACTCCGTTGTGAACCACCTGCCGAAGCCACTACTGTGGGAACAGTTGTTGAAACTGTGGCACTCTCTATTGCAGCAGTTGATGCCACTCTCGTTGTTAGCTGTTCCGTTAATGCTGAGGATGATCCTTAGTTTTATTGTTTCCGTCTATCATCTAATTGTTTTATTTTCAGGTATTTGACTAAGGGGGAGGACTTGATTATAATAAATAGATGACAAAGGGGGAGATTGTTAGAATCCGAGAGGATTCTGATTTTGGTTTTTCGGCACGTGTGTGAAAAACGTGTGTCTAAAGCTAGGGAAGTTTCCTTAATGCTTTAAACTCTTATTTTGTCATTAATTTATTTTAATTGTATAAGTGATGTGTTAACAAGGAATTTCCTTGACAAAGACTTTCCTTGTTACACAATTCCTTTTCTTTACGTGAGATTGAAACTAACCCTAATGGGCTTTGTTTTTTTCTACAGGATTCTTATTTTTTCATAGAATATAAGAAGCAGCACAACATGGCGTTTAATTGCGCGTCTTTTTGAGAGAAACAAATCTCCCGTTTCTTTGTTGGTGTTGCACGTCTTCTTGGAGAGAAAAATTTACAGAGGATATTTGTCGTTACTCTCGTTATTTTATTGACGTCTTTTTATCGAGAGAAGTTCAAGAGAAAATAATTTTTTTTCCTCTCGTTTTTATTGCTCCATCGTGATACGTGATTTTCATAGAAAATATACCGGCTTCAAGGCTTTGTGTTGAAGACACCAAGATTCAAGGAGTATCACAAGTTTGCTTCTTCTATACAAAAAGAAGATCGGTTCTTCGGGAGAGGGGCTTAAACAGATCTCGGGAGGAGATCGATCCGCCGACTGAGGGATTCAGCGTTGAAGGGAGTTCAACCGTGCGGAGCAAGGGACGTGCTGCAAATTGAAGATTTATAATTCATCGTAGTTTACAAGAACGACGTCGACAAAGAGGGAGTCTTTGCATTTCGATTAAGTCCTATCATTGTATTCGTAAAACTAAAAATTAGTAAATTTTATTTGCAGGTCCCCGTGGATGTAGGGTACAATTGTATCCGAACCACATTAAAATTTGTGTCTCGTTTATTTCTGTTTTTACGAACTGCTTCACGAACTGTTGCAACACTTCACGCAACAGTAACGAAAAACTGAATCTGACACAAATAATTTATATCTGCACGAAATAAATTCTAACATAAATAAAAAATTCTGAGTTCCAATCCCACTATAACTCATTTCAAATAATTCAGATATAATTCTTGCACAAAAAATAATATAATTGACCCCTTTAGTTAATTATTAATTTTTTTTATTTAGAAATTATTAAGTTCATTGGAATTTAAATGTTTGTTCGGTTTTGTTAGAATATAATTAACTCACAATTTCCATGGAAAGAGACTATATAGTCATAAAATAATAACTACAATTGAAGTTACAATATTAGAATTTATTTTTTTAAAATGAAATTGTTTGCTACAGTAAAAAGCCGTAATAAAAGGTACTTTTTACAAAGGAACAATTTTGAAGTCATAGTAAATACTAGAATTTACCGTGGTAAAAAAAATATTTGGTACGGTTATTTACCGCAGCAAAGTTTTTGTCACGCCCGTATATGCTACGGAACAAATCCGTAGCAAATGCGTAGTAAATAAAGCTTTTTTACTATGAATTTGATACATTTTGCTACGATTAATGGTCGTAATAAAAAAATATTTTTTTACTAGTGTTAATTGGTCGTGACGAATTACCGAAAATGTAGAGCTCGTGTGTATTATATTTTATTTTAGGGTAAATTACAACCACCCCTGGGGTATGGTTAAATTACGAAACCCCCCCTCTTGTTTGGATAATTACAACCACCCCCTCAACTCATCAAATTTAGTAGAATCTTCGAGATTATATAGAATATTATCACTTTTGTACCCTTTTATCTTATTGGAACTCTACGTTTTGAAGCAAGATGGTTTGTATATATCAGATTGTGGTGCATAAAAAACTGTATTTTTATACAAAACGAGTACAGACTAGAGCACATTTCACAGAATCTAGATGATTATGTTGGATTTGACACCATAAGGATGGAGGTGCAAGAAAAAATCATAATTAAAAGGGTAGATGTAATTATCCAAACAAGAGGAATTTTTTCATAAATTAACCATACCTCGAGGCTAATTTTTTAATCATAATTAAAGGGTGTTTGTAATTTATCCTTTATGTTATTAATCGTCTTCCTCGAGGCTAATTTTTTAATGATTTTTTCTTGGCATTAACAATTGACATGTGATTTTATTTTATTTATAATTATCTGCCTCGAGACTCTCATATTTTAATGATTTTTACTTGCAATTTATATGCTAAATTTTCCGCGCCATCACATTAACTAATGACAGTTTGCTCCACCGACAATGCTAAATGGCCAGAATCTGGCCGGCCAGAAATTGATTTTTTTTTTATTATTATTTATAGTCTATTACATCTATACCCCTATTAACTTTCCCTCCAAAATATTTCCCTCCTAAAATAAACCAGTTATTATACACATTCTCACACCAAACAATAAAAACCAACCATTACTTATTCCCGGATGGATTCACGTGAAGTGGTGCAGGGGTGACTTTTGTAGATGAACCAGGTGAAGTGCTTTGATATTATTATTGTTAATTTATTTCAACTTATAGTATATTATATTATTAGTCAATTTGCAAGAAATAAAATAAGTCTATTCGAAAAACATTACAAGATAAAAATCATCACAAATTCTAAATAAGAATTTGGATATAAAATTTAACAGAGTTCATAGACATATGAAACCATAAGAAAATACATAAAAATAATAACATTATTAATAATAATTAAAAGATTGGTTATATCTAATGCTATTTTTTTTTTTTTTAAGCAAATAAATTTCGTTGGTGTATATGTCAAGTTATATCAATTTTGAATGAAGGGATTGACATTAACCATTTTTCCATCATTGCCTTATTTTTTATCTAATGCAATGTACAACAAACTGGTCTTGTATTATTAATATTATTAAACTTGATTTTTATCAGTATTTATTATTATTATTATTATTATTATTATTATTATTATTATTATTATTATTATTATTATTATTATTATTATTATTAATTTATAAATAACTTTGAAATTTTAAAACATAAAGAATTCTATCGTACAATCAATAATTCAAAATTAACAAGATTGAATATAAGAACTATAAACTTATCCAACAAACTAATGAATACAAAAAAACTTAAGAATATATTTTTCAATTTTTGTAATGCATGCACAAATTCTATAATATTTTACTAATCCACTACTACTAGTATGGATTATTTATCAAAGTAAGATTTTAGAAATATATATATACATATATGTAGTTTTAAGTGTAGGTTAAGTATATTTTCTAATATTCGAAGCATTCTATACATACAAATTTATTAGTAGACATGTAATTTCACGATGAATCATAGAAAAAATTCGATTGAATTCTCTTACAAGTATAATAAATAAATAAATAAATAAATAAATAAATAATCATAATATTAATTTCTTAACTAATAATTAAAAGTAATTATGTGTCTAATTGATAATTAGAGTAGTTAATTTCATGATTCTAATGGCAATTTCAAAATTAGGAATAAAATTGATCATAATCCGATTTTATTAGCAAATTTGAAATTGAATTAGAGATATTGAATCAAGATCCACTTATCATCTAATTTTCCTCTCGATCGTGCGACCCACATTATGGGTGGTAAACGAGCTGAGCTGACTCGTGAGCTAGCTCGATGAGCCGACTCGAAAAAAAAAACTCGAACTCGATGTCGAGTTTTTCCAGCTTGATCTTTTTGACAAATCGAGCTTGAGATTTTTTTAGTTGTTTATGAACTCACGAGCCGACTCGCCAGCCTTCTTTTTATTTATTTTTATTTATATATAATAATATAAAAACAACATATAAAAATTAAAAAAATATATAATTACAATTTATTATTTATTTTGTAATTTTTTTATGTTATAATATAAATAAATTTAATAATAAAATTTAATTAACCCAAGAGTTTTCAGTTATTTTATTAAGATAATCACATAATTAATTAGTGTAACCCCATAAGCCAATTCAATCTATATAATATTGAATTCCACACCTAATTGATTGACATTTGTCAATTTCAATTGGTGACATGTATTCAATTTCATCCCACGTGGCAAATTGATTGGTGAAAATAAATCATCAAAAAACATGTCACCATTTTCCAAAGTAAAAAGATATTTAATTATTTTATTATATATTTATATCATACCATTTATAAAATACACTGAATATATCAACTTTCTTGGAAACTCTAAATAGTTTTTATTTTTTAATTTAATTTTAATAGTAATTAATTTAATTTAAATTTATTTAAATTCTATTTAAAATCTTCACTTATTATAATTGTATGATTGACGGTGTTACGAAAATTTTGTATTTTAATTCATAAACTTGGATTTATATAAAAAAAAATATTGCAGAATAAATCATTTGATATTATACATTTATCTTTTTTACTAATTAATATTATATTCGTAATTACCAAAATCTCCCTGAAGTTTGTTTTCGTCTTACATCGACCCCCTTACGGTATGATTTTTCACGGATTTTTTTTTATTACATGGAATATTCCCCCAAAAATGCAGATTCTACCATGCACGCGACATTTGTTTATGGTACTTTTTAAAGACAAAAATTACCCTGAGGAGGACTTTACACGAAATATTTATTCTTCTTAAATAACTTTTTCACAACTTTTTAGTATTACTATACCTCCCTTAAGGGTAATTTTTGTATTTAAAAAGTAAGATAAAAGAAATGTCATGTCATCAAGGGTAGAATCCACAATTTTTGGGATATTACGTGGAATAAAAAAGATTCCGTAAAAAATCACACTATAAGGGGGTCGTGTAAGACATAAACAAACATCTGGGGGATTTTGGTAATTACCGATAGGTGGGGTTGATTTCCGTAATTTAGCCTTAGTTCATGAGGATTTTCGTAATTTATCCTATTAACAACGATTATCGTTATTACGTCTTAACGTTTGCTTAAACCCTTATATTATTTTAAATAATATTAATGTGAGTTTGATAATATAATTAAATATTAATTTCTAATATATTTAATATGTTTTTCTTGATGTTTCAGGTACCACACATAAGGAATTTGATATAAAAGTTGCGAGATTGAATAGAATTTTTTTTTTTGATACAAAATAATAGATAATTGCAAAAACATTGATGCAAAATCATAATTAGGATTGTGATTAGTATTAGCATTAGAATTAGGATTATAATTAATATTCTTTGAATTAGTATTAGTATTAATGCTAGGATTAGGATTCGGATTAATATAGTATTATAATTAATATTATTATTAGAATTATAATTAAGATTATGATTATTGATTTGTACTACAATTAGTGACATGTATTAGTTTTATGGTTATGATTAGCATTAAAATTAGGATTAATATGGTTAGAATTATAATTAGAATTAACATTAGCATAGCATAAGTATTATTAGTAGTAAAATTATTAGGATTATAATTAATTTTAGAAATAGGTTTAGGATTAGAAACATGATTAGTATTATGAATAGGATTAGGAATAAGATAAGGATTTGGATTATATTAGTATTACAATTATAATCAGCATAAGAGACATATCCTGATTAACATTAACATTAAAATTAATATTAGCATTAGAATATGTACATTAGCATTATCATTAACAATATTAACATATTAGTATTAGAAATAGTATTAATATTAGGATTAATAATAGTATTAGTAATAGTATTAGTAATAGTATTAGTATTAATATTAGTTTTTAGTATTAGTATTAATATTAGTTTTAGTATTAGTATTAATATTAGTATTAATATTAATATTAATATTAGTCTAAATATCAGTATTAATATCAATATCAGTATCGGTATCATTATCAGTATCGGCATTAGTATCGGCATCAGTATCGGTATTGGTATCGATATCAGTATCAATATCAATATCAATATCTGTATCATTATCAGTATCAATATCAGTATCAATATCAGTATCAGTCTCAGTTTCAGTCTCAGTATTCGTATCCGTATCAGTATCAGTATTAGCATCAGTATCACTATCAACATTTATATCAATATCAGTATCAGTATTAGTATGAGTATGAGTATCAGTATCAGTATCATCATTTGTATCAATATCAGTATCAGTATCAGTATGAGTATCAGTATCAAGTAAATATCAGTACCAGTATCATTATCAGTATCAGTATCAATATCAATATCAGTATTAGTATGAGTATTAGTATGAGTATCAGTATGATTGTGAGTATAAGTATGAGTATGAGTATTAATATAAGTATCAATATGACTATCAATATTAGTATTAATATTACTATGAGTATCAGTATGAGTATCGATATTAGTATCAGTATCAATATCAATATTAGTATCAGTATTAGTATAAGTATTAGTATTAATATTAATATTGCTATGAGTATCAATATTAGTGTCAATATCAGTATCAGTATTAATATTAGTATTAATATAATATTACTATGAGTATCAGTATGAGTATAAGTATTAGTATCAGTATCAAAATTATTATTGTTATTAGTATCAGTATTAGTCTTAATAATTAGTATGAGTATTACTATTGGTATCAATATCACTATTCGTATCACTATAAGTATCAATATTATTATTAGTATTAGTATCAATAGCAGTCTTAGTATTAGTCTTAGTATTAGTATTAGTATTAGTATCAATATAACTATCATTATCAATGTAAGTATCAATATTATTATTAGTATTACTATCAATATTATTCTTATTCTTAGTATTAGTATTATTATCAATATCAATATTAGTATTAGTATTAGTTTTATTATTAGTATTAGTATTAGTATTGGTACGTGTATGTGTATTAGTATTAGTATC